AAAGGTAATTGCAACCACTTTTTATATGCCGTAAATACAATTACTACCATCATCATAATTTACAGCACTAGTCTTTAAACAAGGTCAAGAACTGCTGTTGGTACTGGTTGGTGTGGGTATTTGCTTCGTATATTGTCAAATAATTGTTGCCATAATTCTTCTTTGAAGTATTGAGACAACCCTTGAAGATTTTCCTCTTGCAAGACAAATATATGACTTAAAGCACTACAAAAAAAAGTAAAGAAATTAATCACGCAGCAACATTCCAAAATTTATTTTCACAAAATGATACGAACAGTTCTTCTTCTGGTTTTAATGTGGTTGTCATTGGTGAACATTTGGTAATTGCTGCAGTTCTATATTTCCAAAAAATTCTGTAATATCTGTGTCATTTACAAGCCACTATATGGAGAAAAGAGGAAGACAGTTCAAAAAAGAACATCTGGAGATCCAATACTATTACATTTTTGTAAAAAGTACTCACATGCTCTTTTAACTTCCATTCAACATCACCTGGTCCAACTAAGTAGTTTATAGATTTTTCTTTGGGTGATAAATTTGATAAATTATCATCAATAGAAGCAGCAATTGAATTTAACGATGTCGAGTCGCACAAAACGTTTTTTTGACTTTTCCGCTGGTTTGTTTATGTACAAGCAAAGTTAATTTTTATTTAACTAGAGTGACGACGAGTGGTGGGCGATAACCACCACCACCATCCTTAAAACACTTACCCGGGTCTTGTTGCTTCCGCAACATTGTTGGCTTTTGTTCTTTTTGTTTTTTCTTTTGGCATGATTAATAAAAAAAGAAGTTTCAGATTTAAATCGACGTGTAGCACAATTATTTATCTATTGGTTTTTTTTTTGGTAGGACAGACGCGAATTGATTTTTTTTCTTTTTCTTGGAAAAACAATTTATTTTTTGACAGAGTCCAAGGTGACAAAACGTGAGTGTTGTTGTTTGGTTTGGTTTTGGTCTCCTAAAGAAGAAATGTTAATAATAGAGGTACTTTTTTTTACTTGTATTGATTGATATTTTTATTTTTAATTGGAAATCAAAATGCGGAGCAGATCTTGCTGGGTAATTACAAGATTTTCATTGATAATATTCTTCTTTTCGTAATCAATAATATTATTATAATCACAAGAAGATGTCAAGGCAGTACACCATTGAATAGGAGACAATGAGTATGCAACGTTTGATTATTGGAAATTTACAGGTGTTGAAGCACACTGCCTTGAACACTTTACAGTCATTCACACATCTTTCTCGTGTACAAAAGGCTAATCCGACCTGCAACGCCCAAGGATACAATGATGCTACCAAATTCCAGATGGGGGCAGCATGGTCCTGGAGTTTACCGAGACTGCACCAATCGTCAATAACGCTTTCACTAATTTTCTCTCACAGTACCCAGACCAGAGATGGCTGCTGCCATGCTGGCCAAAAAGTCAACTGCAACGATCCTACCTCTAGGGCAAGGATGGCACTGTGACCAAGTCACAACTCTGCTGATGAATATTAAGAGAATCTGCAGCTCGTTCCAAGCTCAGGAGGTCATAATTCAGAGCAGGGTTGGTGGCATTTGGACTCTGATGTTAAGAGGGAAGTTGTAAAATAGTGTTTGTTTTGTATATTCATTTTCATAAATGCTCTGTTTCTCTGACATTAACAAATTTATAATTTTGGGTAGGGGATTGAAATGGGTTTTTGCCCAATCAGTTCCCCATCCTGTAGGTTAAAATTATCACATGATTATATACATCTTTGTCAGCAATATGGCCAACAAGAAAAAGGCCATAAAATGGTTCGGATTTTGTTTGGTATGTTAAAAATTAATCATTTTCCCAAATTCTCTGCTTCTCTTTAATTTTTGTCTGACCAACTGAATTTGTTATTTTAGTAAATGGGGCTAGGGTTGTTGATGAGTAGGCATGCCACTGACAAGGCAGGGGACGCCTTTGGGATATACCAGCCAAACTCATAGAAAGGGATCTTTTGTCCAGACTTAGGGTCACATGGGTGTTAAGCACAGAAAATGTACACTATCAATGTATATTTTTTTCAACAAAATAAACATTTAAATAATTAATTGTTAAATATTAATACTTTTCTTTTCATAAAAATTACAGCAACCCAGGACTCAAAACTCTGAATTCAGGGAAAATTCAAAACAGCAATCCAGGTTACAACCTCCTGAGTTGCTGAATTCTCAAGCCAGTCTTAACACCAACTTTAATGCTAGTGTGGCAATAACACAAAGCAATCATCACACAAGCACCAGCTATCAGCAGTCAATGTCAATATGGTGACATCCAAGCCTGATCTAAGAGAAAGATAGGGAAAGTTTTGTCCAAAGCCTTCCAACATGTGTGGAACCTCTCTGTGGAAAGAAAATTCCATGGTTATAGGCGTGCTTAATTGCACCGCATTGCATGTTTGTGATAGGAAAATTTTTATTAAATCTGACACCTGTAATCATCATCAGATTTATTATTCATAAGGAAAAAATTTTTTTTTGTGAATCCCAGAGATTCTGAATAGACACATTATTGTTTGAAATTGGGTTCCTTATAAAGTTTCATTCTTGCATGGTCTTGGTATTATTTATTACTTGGGTGATGCAATTGTTTGTTATTTCAATGATAGCATCAAATGTATTGAATAAACATCAAAATTATCATGAATATATATGCAAGGAAAGGATTAAATAACAACAAAAAGCTAAGTAATGTTTATTTTTTATCAACCAAAATGTATAATTAATTGTATTTAAAAATTTATTATTTATTCCACTTTTGTAATGACATTAGCTTCAATAATTCTATTTCCTTAGTATTAATGATTTAATCAATATACAAGTGGTGGTCAATTTAATTGGCATTCATTTTTTTAAATGTGTAAAATTTTTTTAAAAGATGTTTTTACAATAATGATTTTTAATATTTGTAAAATTTTTTTTTGACAAATGTAAATCTTTATTAATATTGTCATTGATTAAATTTGGGAGAGCATATTTTAATGGGTGATAATAATATCATAATAATAAATAAAATATGGTAATTAATATTTTTTTATATAAATTTAGGAATGTAATGATTAAATTAAAAGGTATTTGCATGATTTCTTTTCCAAAGGTTAATGGTTAAATGAAATCAGAAGGAATTTTTACACGGCCATTTATTATTAATTATGATATACTACTAATTATTAAAGATCTGTTTGTGTACAATCAGAAAGAATTATTACGTGATACTTGTCTCTATTTTTTTTGTTATTTTTTATTTCTGAATTTTATTTAGTAATTTTGGGAAATGTACCTGACTTGAGTAGGGAGTAACAGCTAAGAAGGACACCCACCAAGAAACGTGATCAGGATATAGTGTGAAGTCTACGACAAGTGTCTTTATCTATTACGACCTAATTACGACATTACGGCTTTAATTACAGCTATCGTTCAGATGTCGTAATATTATGACATTCACAAATCAATTTGGGTTGAATGTATACTGTTGCTGATGATTTAATTCTTTTAACATTTACTTGTGTGTTACCCAAAAAATTTTGTCACATAAGAAATATTTTATTAACATTAACCCGCGTAATCTATTTATTCAAAATGGCAAAGAAAAAGTAGTACTAATAAACTAAAGTTGTTTCCGGTTATTCTACAAGGCTTATGGAAATCAATATAATCAAGGTAAGTTCAAGCAAAATTTCAAATCTTGAGTCATGGATGGATATCAATAATTTATAAAATATTTCTACAATTCTTCAAGCAAAAGACAAAAAACTCAACTTTTAATCCATCAAACAATAATACTAATGCTATTACTCCATCAACTAATATTTTACTCCTCCGATTATTAATACTATTATTCCATCAGCTAACTAATAATGAATGCTATTACTCCTTTGTCAACAAATTATTTCATCAACTAATAATACTGTTTCTCCATCAGCTAATAAATAATTCTCAATCAACAATCACATCACCATCACCAACAAGAAGATCAACTAGGTTCATACATATGTAGTGATGGCATTGATCTTTTTAAACGTATATTTTTTGGAAAATTTTTACTTTGGGCTATTGAAAAAAAAATTTTTAATAGGTAATATTAGAGAATAATTGTGTAGTTTTCCGCCAATTTGAATTCCCGTGAGAATATTCGACATCTGCCAAAATTAAAATATCTGAAATTAATATTCAACTAGAGTAGTGAGTAACAGATCAATAATCACCACCGCAGTTGTATGAAATATTTATTAGGATTTTTTTATTATTAAAAATAGAAAATGGTTAATATTAATGTTATTATTATATAATATATATATAAGTTAAAAGAAAAAAAATTTGCTTTTTAGAAAATGATTTTTATTAAAATCTCAACATTTTACATTTAT